GTGCTAGGAGAGGAGGAAGGAAACGAAAGGCAAGGTTGGCAAGGTTGCGATGCCGATACATATATGTCCGAGAACTCCATAAATATATATATATCAAGTGCGCCACCCATCCCTCCACGGACCCCTCTGTGCCTCCCAGGGCCCGTTCACGCCGATGGAATGCTCACCGTGATGGTCGCCACGGTCGGGATCACGAGGGAGAAGACGAGGCCAAGGCGGGGTTGAAGTTTGAAGAGGAGGATCGTCCCCACCACTGCCTCCAAGAGCGCGCGCAGACCCCGGTCTCTCTGCAGGTTCCCGTACAGTATATCTGGGGTGGAGGGGCGGGGTTATCATGGGATTTAGATGATCCTTCACCCTATCCCGACCCCTAAAAGTTAAAGATTTGTTTCTCCCGGCGAAATCCTGTCTTAAGGTAACTGCAGGCACGCACAGCTTCTATCAACCCTCCTTTTTGGTCTTTTTTTTCCCTCTTTGTTGGCCTCGCCGCGGGCACCATGGCCCCTGTTTCTTTGCCTACCTTTGAGCCCGCTGATGTCTTGGGACAGGTAGGATGTTATCTCCCCAGGCCCTGCCCGGTCGAAGAAGGCGACGTCCTGCTCCAAAAGCCTGGTAAAGACAGCGTTCTGCCCCGTGCCAGAGAAAGGGTTGGTGTTAGGGTAAGGGTTAATACTACCACAAAATATATAATACACATATACTATGTGTGTCTCATGGCGTTGGAAGGGATCCTTTTTACCTCTGATATCTTTTCTTTATACCCCTCCTGCCCCCTCCCCGTCACGAGCAGGCATTTCTCTCACCTTGAGGTTCAGTACACCCTTGGAAAACAGTCCGGTCATGTGCCGGATGTATACCCACGTCAAAAAGGGTTCCGCCGAGTAGATGCATGCCAGCAGACGCAAGGCCTGCGAAAGGAAGAGGTGGCACATGCGGGGTTGTTTTCATTTTGTCAGACACATAGAGGAAGGATTCTCGCGCGATGCACATTCCATATCCTCCGAGTGAATGGCTTCTATCTATTCATCGTGCGTGGCCCTGTCACCCTGACTTGGCCTTAGTCTTCCGGTCACAGCCTTCACAATCCCAGCAACATTCCTGCGCCATGACAACTATGTGTTAACCTTAGCCTGATGCTGCTGGCTTGCTTCACAACGGCCGGGGCGGAGGATTCCCAACACCACTTCCTACCACGGTAGCCCCTTCTCAGCCACGCCTTGGGTGGATCGCCCCCTCCGCACAACGAATCACGCTTACGCACCTTGGTAAAGGCCGTTTTTCTTTCCAGCAGCGGCGTTTCAGCAGGCAGCAACAGGACGTTCACGACCCCCCCGTACCCTAACGGCACGGAAACGGCCGCAACCGTCGCCAGCACGGAAAAGACTCCCCCAATGGCCAGGTCTCGTTTACGCAGGCGGGTAGGAGAGTCTGAAGGTCCTGCAAAAGCGGCCCATTGAAGGTCGTGAGGGGTCGTGGGCTGGCGAGAGGCATCAAGGGAGGGAGGGGAGGAAGGAGGGGGGGACGTAGATGGCCTGATGGCCGGAGGAGGGTTGGCTGTCGTTCCCCCCCTTCGACGGAGGAAAGCAGGGATGAAGGATGAGGCAAGCATCGAGCTGAAACGCCTGATGGATGCACGTGGAGCAGAGGTTGGAAGGGTAGGAATTCTTGGAGATCGTGGCGGATAACCTGGGCGGAAAGGGCGAGAAATGCTGTGAACCTACATGGCCTTGCCTTCGAAAAGGATGCAACACACAGGACGGCCGGGAGTTTGGAAAATTTTTGATAATCGAGCGCGTGCTGCTTCGTCATATACTTGCATCAGACAAATAACGAAGTGATGGAGGCCGTTGTTATCATATTTTATTCTCCCTCTTGTCATAGGAAGGCAATTTCCTTCCATTTGCCGGCAAGATCGTGCGAGCAAGGAGACTTGGGGAAAAGGTCGATCGGTTTCCTACCTGATCCAAAACATGACCGTAGAGCAATTTTCTGTGGACGATGTATAGGAGTAGCCATATTAAGCCGCGCTTTTTGTGGGGGAGATCGTGGCGAGGTCCCGAGTGTTCGGAGAAGAGGAAGCACGTAGGCAATGGTGTCGGCCCAAAATATCAGGACCAGACAGAAGACCAAGGCCCTTGAGGAGACCGGCCATCGTAATGATCGTGACGAGAGTAATGACATGGTCACAACCGCTACAACTTTCCTGGGATGAAATGCCACGGATAAGGAGACTGAACGTTGAGCAAGATCGCTTGTGAGGCGAGCAAGCAAATGCAAAGGTTTGCTGCTTTTCGTGACACTTTGTGGAGTAAGGCCGCGCGAGCTCTGAATTCCGCACCACCATAGACTAACAAGTGTAAACGCATAATGTATTTAATGGTGAGGGCATTGGTTAGACGGATGCCGGGGCCGGCTGCGCGTTGAGGTCTCGCTAAAATAACGGAGGAGGGCGAGGTCAGTTCCGGTGTGAATTTGAAGACGTGAACCTACCCGTGGCATCGAATGGCTTTTGCCCACCTGAATCCAACCGTATCAAGATTTTCAAGAAAGCAACCATGACATGGGTTAGTGAACGAAGCTGGTGTGGGCGGCTATACTTTATTGAACTTTCCTACGGGGCATGTTGCCCTCAGGAGGCAAGCGGACTCGGACCGTGTCCAAACCCGCTGACGTACGTGTGTCAACATAAGCCTATATGTCATGAAAAACTAAATAATTACAGGATTTCTGAAAATTCTATTGTTTCACGTATTTGCGTCCAAGTGAAGGGTTTGGACTTCATATTACCTAATTCAAAACAGCCTCCTGACCCAAATTGAATTCTTTTGCCAAGGTTCAGGGTTCTTTTGCCACGCAGCCCCTCCTTACTATGTGTTGTGTGATTCAGATGGAGCGCTCCTCCACTTACATGATTTTCTCGTCCTCTCTTTTCTGCCTCAACACATACATTCCCTCAATTTCCGTTTGACTTTTCTCCCTTTTCGCGCAAAAAGTCAAGATACTTCCGGGTCGCATACAGCGAATCGGGCGTGAACTTGTCTCCAGCCTATTCCAGAAGCGGACAATGGGCAGAGAGGTGAGAAAAGAATCTGGAAAATCGATGGAAACGGCAGGAAGGACGAACAAGAATGCAAAAAGATGGGAAAATTTGGTCAAGAGACAGGGTACGCCATACCTCGACCCGAATAAAAACTTCCTCAAGCGTCATGGGATGCACGCTTTCGACTTCCTCCTGGGGGTTAAAGGGCCAATAAAGAAAGGAGACGAGCATAATCAAGGCAGGAACGAGGACAAAATTCACCTGAATGCGAAGCTCGGAACCTGTGGGACGTTGGTCGACGTCCTTGCCCCGATTCCCCCTCCCCGTGGGTACCCTCCGCCCTCTCTCCTTACCTTTTGCAATGTCAAGGCTCCGTCCCACACTACTTCCCAGGCGTCACCAAAGACACGAATTTGCTCATCTTGGTACAAGAAAGTGAACAAATGCTTTTTTCCCGCAGAAGGTGGAATGCCCAGCTCTTCCTCCGCCTCTCGATCGGCATTCTCGGCGTAGGTTTCGCCTGCCTGCGTACGGGAGGAGGAGAAGGGGGAGGAGGAGGGAGCGGGGACGGGGAAAAGAGGAAAGGAAGGACAGGGGTGAGAGGAGAGAGTTGATGTGGCCGCCCTTGGTCGTTGCGTAAGATGACACCTGTCCCCCGCATCATGATTTGCTTTTGCCTTCTCCTGCTTCCTGAACGTTTTGCTTTTGCCTTCTCCTGCTTCCTGAACCGTCCCCGCCACCTGCCCTCCCTTGGTCCGCCCCTTCACCCCTCTCCCTCCCTCCCTCCTGCCTTACCCCCACCACTCCACCGGCCACCACCTCGTAGTACCCAGGACAGTAGTCCTTGAGCATGGTTCGTTTCTGCACATAGTACTCTCCCTGGCTGTTTCGCGCAAAAATATAAGTAGAACGGTGCAACAGCCGTTCTTTGCGCTGTGGAGATGAAAGGAAAGATTGGCAGGCACGAAGATGAGGGAAAAGATGGAAGCAAAGCATGGTACAGGTGTCTGAGGTGTCATGGGCCCAAGGGAGCGGCGACGTGGCACACCCATGACTAAGATCGATGATTGTCGGCGTTGGCAGTGCACAAAAAATTATTCCAGCCTCGACGACGTACCATGATTTCCCGACGCTCTTGGCGCAATACTTGATTGCTTTCGTCAACAATGTCGACCTGATCGGACCATTCAAGACATAACTCGTGAGGTTAGCAAACAAAAATGCACAAGTTAAAGAGAAACGGTCCCCGAGATATGCATGACAAGCGAAAGCGGGACAAATATCACCTGAAATACCAAAGATATTAGAAGTCTTTCTATATCATGGAAAGAAGTTCCATTGATCCAAGGAGGGGGGGTGTCGCAGCAGTCTGCAAGGTCGCCAAATAAAAAAATCAGATAAATGGGACAGGGGAAAAGGAGCGTAGCACTTACAATTTCGTCCGCTGAGAGAGACATGTTGTTGACAGTGCTCGAGATTTGCCGCGATGTGCACGAGGATTTTATTGTGGGAAAATTTGGTCGGCGACGCCTGTGCGAGACTGAGGCGGTGCGACGACAGGGTTAACCATTCCATTTTGTACATCAAACACCAAACTGGGTGCGCACTAAGCAAAACTGAGCGTAAACATACAGTGGATTCATTTGTTGAGACCTTGCGCCCCTATTGATTGTCCTGAAAAGACAGTCGTGGACGAAATTGTTATCTTTGAAGTAGGTCCGCTTTATCTACTTGAGATGAACGAAAAACTTACATTTCTGACACATCAATTCAGTACGCGGATGCGATCTATGAGACACAATGTCTTTTAAAAACTTTAATCCTCACCAGGTATATGTCACCTGGATATCAACAATGTGGCGCCTCGTTTCTTTTTTTTGGAAGGGTATTTTAACCCTTTCCTCTTGTCCCTCCCGGTTCCCAATCTCTCCTCCTTCTCCTTCCGACGCCATTTATTTTTACGGCGTAGCCAGTCAATCAAACCATTTCCGCTGGTATAAAGTCCAGATTGGTACAACTTAACAATTTGAGTACCTTGATTCAAGGTGCGAGGCCGTCTGGCTTTTTTTTTAATTGACACTGAATGGGACACGACTGATGCCTTCCATGACGTTGACCACGTCGAAACCATTCTCCATGGTTTTCCTTCTTTTCCTCCCATTCCTTTTTCGGGTCACATCATCAGTTCTATCAACAAAGTGGCTACGCATTCCTCATGGATATGGACGCTGAATCCACCAAGATGGGGTCGTCCGCCGCGTCTTTTTCTCCCTCCCTCCCTCCTTCCCTTTCCACCTCCTCGCTGCCGGAGGCAGACGGCGAGATAGCGACGGAACAAAATAAAACCACGGACCATGCCAAACTCACTTTTCAGGCGACGGTCGTGCCCGCAAAATTCGCCACAGCCAGCACAAAGACCACCGAAACGTCAGCGGCGGGTTCTTCTAGGTGTGTATTTGTTCATATGTACAAGTGCCCGCAAGTGAGGAAAAGCAGGAGGTAGATTGATCTCCTCTTTCCAACTCCCCTTCGCTTTTTGACTTCCTGCTCTCCTCCTACGCACAGCCCCAAGAAACCCTCCGCCGCCGTCAACACCACCAGCAGCCCTCCTCCTTCCATTCGTCTTCCTACTTCCTCCCCCTACCCCTCGTCTGCTGCCGTTTCGCCCTCCTGCCCTCGCCCTACCTCTTCACCTGCCCGTTCTTCCACCTCCACTGCCGCATCGCCTTCCCTCTCTCCCGCCCACTCCGGCATGGTAGCCTCTCCTTCCCCTCCCTCCGCCGTTTCCTCCTCCTCCTCCTCCTCCTCCCCCTCCTCCTCCTCCTCCCTCCCCGACGAGAAGACTCTTGTCCGTTGGTGTCAAAGGGTGGTGGCAAACGACATGGGGTTGAAAAATGAAAGCCTCCTGGACGATGACTTCTACTTCATCGGGCCCTTCGACGGGTGCGAGACTTGCTGCCCTCCCTCCTTCCCTCCCTCCTTTCCACTCTTTCTCCCTCCCGCCCCCCCTCCCTCCCTCCCTTCTTTCAGTTCTCTCTTCCTCTCCTTTCACCTCTATTTTATAGC